AATTTTCTTTTTTTGTGTTGTCCTTGTCTGGTTTTGGTATCAGGGTAATATTGGCTTCGTAGAATGAGTTAGGAAGCTTCCCCTCATTGTCAATTTTTGCAAGAGTTTGAGAAGGATAAGTATTAAGTCTTCTTTGAATGTTTGGTAGGATTCACCAGGGAAGCCATCTGGTCCTGGACTTTTATTTTTGGGGAGATTTTTTATTACTGTTTTGATCTCCCTACTGGTGATTGCTCTATTCAAATTCTCTATTTCTTCCTGATTCAGTTTTGGAAGGTTGTACAATTCTAAGAATTTATCCATTTCTTCTAGATTATCCAGTTAGTTTGTGTATAGCTTTTTGTAGTATTCTCTTAGAATCTTTTGTATTTCTGAGTTGTCTCTTGTAATTTCCCCTCTTTCATTTCTGATTTTATTTGAGCTTTCTCTCTTTTTTTCTTGGTGAGTCTTGCTAAAGATTTGTCAATTTTGTTCATCTTTTCAGAGAATCAACTCTTAGTTGCATTGATTTTTTTCTATTTTTTTTCTTTCATTTATTTCTGTTCTGATTTTTATTATTTCCTTCCTTCTACTGATTTTGAGCTTTGTTTGCTCTTTCTCTGTTTCCTTTAGGTGCACTTTTAGATTGTTTATTTGAGATTTTTCTTGTTTGTTGAGGTAGGCCTGTATTGCTATAAAGTTCCCTGTTAGAACCGCTTTTGCTATATCCCATAAATTGTGTCATGTCGTATTTTCATTTTCATTTGTCTCTAGGTATTTTTTATTTCTTTATTGACCCAATCGTTGTTCAGTAGCATTTTGTTTAATCTCTACAAATTTGTGGCTTTTCTGATTTTCTTCCTGTAGTTGATTTCTAGTTTTATACCATTGTGGTCAGAAAAGATGCTTGGTATTATTTCAGTCTTCTTAAATTTATTGAGACTTGTTTTGTGGACTAATATGTGATCTATCCTGGAGAATGTTCCATGTGCATTTGAAAAGAATGTGTATTCTGCGGTTTTGGGGTGGAATGTTCTGTATATATCTACTAAGTCCATCTGGTCTAATGTGTCATTTAAGGCCGATGGTTCCCTATCTATCTTGTGTTTGGATGATGTATCCATTGGTGTAAGTAGACTGTTAAAGTCCCCTACTGTTATTGTGTTCCTGTCTATTTTTCCTTTTATGTCTGTTAATAATTGCTTTATATATTTAGGTGCTCCTACGTTGGGTGCATAGATATTTACAATTAAAATATTAAATTATTTTAAATTATTATATTAATTATATATATTAATTATATTTTAATTGAAATATTAAAATATACATTTTATATCCTCTTGTGGGATTGTTCCCTTTTTCATTATGTAGTGCCCTTCTTTGTCTCTTGTTACAGTTTTTGTTTTAAAATCTGTTTTGTCTGATAGAAGTATTGCTGCTCCAACTTTCTGTTCATTGCCATTTGCATGGAGTATCTTTTTCCATCCCTTCACTTTCAGTTTGTGAGTGTCTTTCAGTCTGAAGTGTGTCTCCTGTATGCAGCGTATATAAGGGTCTTGTTTTTTTATCCAATCAGCCACCCTATGCCTTTTGATTGGAGCATTTAGTCCATTGACATTTAAAGTAGCTATTGATAAGTATGTACTTACTGCCATTTTGTTACTTTTTTCTGGGTGTTTAGTAGTTCTTCTCTCTTCCTTTCTTTTTCTCTTGGTCTCTTCTAAAGGTAATTCTTAATTTTTCTTTAAAATACATATTTCTGTCATTCTAGTAATGACATTTATGCTTCTTTACGTTACCTTGGTTCAGATATGTTAACTGCATCATGAAATTTTTTTTTTACATTTTTAATGCTTAAGATTTGACAGAATAGGACTTTAGCCATGTAGTGGTTTGTTTTGAGAGAATATGCTGCTCAACAGATCTCTGTAAGAATGGAATAATGGAGAGGAGCAAGCTCACAGCTTGCTAAGTAGGGGGAAAAAGAATTTTTTACCTGGTCATTATTGTGTGAATAATGTGGCATTTCAAGACTCTAATAAAGGACTGCTCATAGGATTTTTTAACTCATTATATCAGTTGACATGGAGACCATACTGTAGTTGAATATTTTGATAAAACCTAAATTATTGGAAAAGTTCATGTGATTCAAATCTTTTCCCCCTTTTATCTTCTTAACTTCTTAAAAACAATAGACTTTATGTTTTAGAACAATTTTAGGTTCACAGCAAAACTGAGCAAAGTACAGAGAGTTCTCATATACCCCCTGCCCCACACAGACACAGCCTTCCACACCTGAGTGGTACATTTGTTAACAATCAATGAACCTACATTGACACATCATTATCACCCAAAGTCCATAGTTGGCATTAGGCTTCACTCTTGGTGTTGTACATTCCATGGGTTTGGACAAAGGTATAATGACATGTATCCACATTGTAGCATCATACAGAGTAGTTTCACTGCCCTAAATATCCTCTGTGCTCTGCATATTCATCCCTCCCTCCCCTCTAACCCTTGGCAACCACTGATCCTTTTACTGTCTCCATAGTTTTGCTTTTTTCGGTATGTCATATAATTGGAATCACATAATATGTAGTCTTTCCAGATTGGCTTCTTTCACTTAGTTATATGCATTTAAATTTCCTTCATGTGTTTTTGTGGCTTGATGGCTTTTTAAATTTTTTTTATTTAATTTCTTTAAACTAAAAAAAAAAAAGAAAAAAACAGTTCACTCATTTCTCCCACCTCCCACCTCCTGCCTTTTGCAACCACCAGTCTGTTCTATGTATCTATGAGCTTGGGTGTTTTTTCTTTTGTTTGTTTTATATCCTACACATAAGAGAGATCATATGGTATTTGTCTTATTTCACGTAGCATAATGCCCTCAAGGTTCATTCATGTTGTTGCAAATGGCAAGATTTCATTCCTTTTTTATGGCTGAATAATATCCCATTGCATATATATACCACAATTTCTTTATTCATTCAAAGACCTATGTCAAGGAGCTTATTGCCTATGTTTTCTTATAGGAGTTTTATGGTTCCAGGTCTTATATTCAAGTCTTTAATCCATTTTGAGTTAATTTTTGTGTATGGTGTAAAATAATGGTCCAGTTGCATTCTTTTGCATGTGGCTGTCCAGTTTTCCCAACACCATTTATTGAAGAGACTTTCTTTTCCCCATTGTATATTCTTGGCTCCTTTCTTGTAAATTAATTGACCATATATGCATGGATTTATTTCTGGGCTGTTTTGTTCCATTGATATAGGTGTCTGTTTTTATGCCAATACTATACTGTTTTAATTACTATAGCTTTGGAAATTTCCTCCATGTCTTTTTATGGCTTGATGGCTCTCTTTTTAGTGCTGAATAATATTCCACTGTCTGGATGTACCACAGTTTATTTATCCATTCACCCACTGAAGGACATCTTGGTTGCTCCCAAGTTTTGGCAATTATGAATAAAGCTGCTATAAACAGCCATGGGTAGGTTTCTGTGTAGACATAAGCTTTCAGTTCATTTGGGTAAATACCAAGGAATTTGATTGCTGGATCGTATGGTAAGAGTATGTTTAGTTTTGTAAGAAATGCCAAACTGTCTTCCAAAGTGGGCATACCATTTTGCATTCCGAATAGCAATGAAGCAGAGTTCCTGTTGCTCCACATCCTCTCCAGCATTTGGTGGTGTCAGTATTTTGGATTTTGGTCATTTTAATAGATGCATCGTGATATCTCATTGTTTTAATTTGCAGTTCCCTAATGATATATCATATTGCACATCTTTTCATATGATTATTTGCCATCTGTATATCTTCTTTTGTGAGGTGTCTGTTCAGGTCTTTGGCCCTTTTGTTTTTTTGTGTGTGTGAGGAAGATTGGCCCTGAGCTAACATCTGTGCCAATCTTCCTCTACTTTATATGTGGGATGCCAACACAGAATGGCTTGATGAGCGGTGTGTAGGTCCGCGCCCAGGATCCAAACCCATGAATTCCAGGCCGCCGAATCAGGGCGTGCCAACTTAACCACTACGCCACCATTTGGCCCATTTTTTAATCAGGTTGTTCATTTTCTTATTGTTGAGTTTTAAGAATTCTTTGTTTATTTTGGGTAGCAGTCCTTCATCAGATATGTCTTTTGCAGATATTTTCTCCCAGTCTGTGGCTTATCTTCTCATTCTCTCTGCGTTGTCTTTCACAGAGCACAAGTTTTCAATTTTAATTAAGTTCAGTACGTTAATTCTTTCTTTCATGGATCATGCCTTTGATGTTGTATCTAAAAAGTCATCAGCATACCCAAGGTCATCTAGAGTTTTTCTCCTGTTGTCTTCTAGGAGTTTTATAGTTTTATATACATTTAGTTCTGTGATTCATTTTGATTTAATTTTTGTAAAAGGTGTAAGGTCTGTGACTAGACTAATTTTTTTGCATGTGGAAGCCCAGTTGTTCCAGCACCATTTGTTGAAAAGATGTTCTTTGCTCCATTGTATTGCCTTTGCTCCTTTGTCAAAGATCAGTTGACTGTATTTATGTGGGTCTGTTTCTGGGCTCTCTGTTCTGCTCCACTGATCTATTTGTCTGTTCTTTCACCAGTATCACTCAGTCTTAATTGCTGTAGCTTAAAGTTGGGTAGTGTCCAACTTTGTTCTTCTTCAATATTGAGTTGGCTGTTCTGAGTCTTTTGCCTCTCCAGATAAACTTTAGAATGAGTTTGTCGATATCCATAAAATAACTTCCTGGAATTTTGATTGGGATTGTGTTGAATCTATAGATCAAGTTGGAAAGAACTGAAATTTTGACAGTATTGAGTCTTCTTATACGTGAACATGGAATATCTCTCTATTTATTTAATTCTTTGATTTCTTTCATCAGAGTTTTGTAGTTTTCCTCGTATAGATCTTGTACATATTTTGTTAGATTTATAGCTAAGTATGTCATTTTGGGGGATGTTAATGTAAATGGCAATGTTTTTAATTTCAAATCCCACTTGTTCATTACTGGTATCTGCTTAACTTTTTAAGCTATTAATGGATGCCTGGAGGTTGACGTACATATATATTCAGAAATGTTTTGCCACCTGAGACCTGTGAGGAGGTAAGCTTTGTGGTCCAATCTGTATTTAGTATTGGGGGGGAAATCTGTTATGGATTTGGCTAATTTTAATTTATTGTTATTTTTTAAATTCTAAAGTTATTTTATATTATGGTGGAGGGCAGGAACAAAAAAAGAAAAAGGAAATTTGTATGAACATCCAGGTCCTCCAAGAATCCATTCAGAGCAGAAAGTGAAAAGAATATCATCTTTTAAAATAGTTCAGTGCGAGGGGCCGGCCCGGTGACGCAAGCGGTTAAGTGTGCGCGCTCTGCTGTGGCAGCCCGGGGTTCGCCTGTTTGGATCCCGGGCGCGCACCTACGCACAACTTGGCAAGCCATGCTGTGGCGGCGTCCCATATAAAGTAGAGGAAGATGGGCATGGATGTTAGCCCAGGGCCAGTCTTCCTCAGCAAAAAAAGAGGAGGATGGGCAGATGTTAGCACAGGGCTGATCTTCCTCACAACAAAAAAAAAATAGTTCAGTGTGAAAAGTTTAAGAGGAAAAAAGTTAAATTTACTCCTTAGCACAATTTTTATCATGTTGCCCTCAAGTCTATTGCTGTCATGTGGAAGACCACTTCACATTTAAATTGTATAGTAAGGTCATTTGACTACCATATTTGCTATTTATTGTATGTATAATCTAAATCCTGTCAACTTGAAGAAAGGATTTAAAGAGTTCAGCAGTATAAATTTAATTGGCATACTATAATAGGCATATATAGGGTAACTGAAATAGAGATCAGAAGCCATATAGAGAAGGAAGTCATTGTGTTAAAAAGCAGAACTTATTAAACAATTACTCAAGCTTCAAATTTAGTCCTGGCTTCTTGGTAGCCAAGTAAAAAAAATGGGAAATGAAGTGTTCATTTGGCTCAAAATATATAACTAAAATACAGTTGGACTTGTTACATAAAAATTATGTGTGAAGTTTTAGGTTTCTAAAACATATTTGGCAATAATTAGTGCCTTTAAATAACTATTCTGTACGTGGTAAAGAGTCACTGTTAAAAGGAAGTTCTTCAGGGGAAACAGACTTTCCACCAACTCAGTGTGTGACAAGGATTATCAAACACAGGGAGACTTTCTTTGATTGAATTTATGACACAATTGTTAAAAAAAAAAAAAAACAGAGAGAGAAACAAAGAAACTGTGAAATACTGGACAATGCCCTAAAAACTTGTTCTTCTGCAGATATGGAGACATTCTTCATGTTGTGGTATCTTTTAATAATGTTCAACCACAGTAAACCAGGCTAAAGTGTTGTGTTCTTGTGCTCTAATACAAGGAGAGACCGCGGGAGCCTGGAGGACTGAGTTTTATAACTTCTAGTAGGCTATTTCCTTCAGCGATGCTTGCCTCCTCACCCCATGCCACTGACAGGCAATGAATAGTCATCATTGCATGATAGAGCCATGCTTTTCCAGCTCATTTGATCCCAGCCTTCAGAAAACTATATTTTAATCATAACCCACAAAATAAAAGTTTCACAACAGTAGTACCCTTGCCACACACACTGTGCAATGATATTTTCTGTTCTGTGTCTTTTTCAGTGTTGGCCATGGCCTAGTAAGTTGATTTCACAACACTATGGATCATGAAAAACACTGCTCTAGAGTAATTGCAGTGCAAATTGTTTTGTTCTTAATTAGAAATCAAGTCATATGCTTTAACCAAAAAATAGATACCAGTAGTAACATTCTTACTTCTCTCTGTAAATCCCCTGGAGTGTTGCTAATGGCTGTACATTTGATTTAATTCAAGGCAATATTGCTCTTATCAGTAGGATAACTTTCTTTTTGGAAAAATCCATATTATTTGACAAATTTCTGACTTTACACAGTCTGTGTTCTACAAAAATTAGAATTAAACTGTACACATGTTTTAAATGTACTTGAAATGTTTATTATTTAAAGAAATCCTCTAGTGCAAGGATCAGCAAACTGATCCTTGGGCCAAATGGGCCCACTGCCTGTTTATGTAAATAAAGTTTTATTTGACCGCAGCCAGCCATTCATTTGCTTATTGCCTGTGGCTGCTCTCCCACTACAACAGCAATGTTTAGTTGCAACACAGACTGCATGGCCCACAAAGCCTAAAATATTTACTTTATGACCCGTTACAGAAAAGTTTGCTGACCCCTGTTCTAGTGATTCCTTTTTCAAAAATCTAATCCTTTGGTAAATCCAGCTTTTCATGTGCTGAATTTGCTCAATTTAAAGCAACACGATGTTGTTTTGGATTTTGTTTTCCTTGGTTTAGTTTTCCTTGATTTGATTCAGTTTCCTTTCATTAAATGCTTACCTTCATTTAACATACATTAACAGTAATACCTGTGCCAGACCCTGTGGAGTGGCAGCCATAAGACATTGAACTCTCCTGCCCCTCTGGCTCCACCAGTGGTTTGCCCAGAGGCCACACTTCCTGGGCTGTCAGTGACTGAGCAGAGCAGGAGTACTAAGTGGCTCATTCCAGCTGGACACAGGACTCCTCCAGTGGGTGATGGGCTAGAGGACTCCCCATTGGCATGGCTGAACCCGTCTTGGAACTCTGCTGCAGCCCAAGACTTCCTACCTAATACTCCTTCCTTCCCTCTCTCCTACAGATGTCAGGCCTGAATCGTGGTCTGAAAGTCTCCCTACCTTCTCCTCCCTCTCCCAATAATTCTCTTTCACATCTAACCCTGTCTTGGCCTCTGCTTTTCAGCAGACCCAAACTAACACACTCAACAACAACAAATACACGTTTACTGCTCTAAAAGATGCAGTGATAGTTGAGGAGGATGGGTAGGTAGAAGGAGAGAAGAACAAATGAAAATATATCATTTACACATTATGGTATTGTGTTCCAAATATGTGGGACACACAGTTTATATTTTTAGGGTTTAAAAGAGGGAAAGACTGTTTATAATGAGGATACAAAAGGGAAGGTTCTGAGGGAAATGGGTACATTGCCTCCTGGCACATAGTAGGTATGCAGTATGTATTGTGAGTGAGTACAATTTGGATAGGTGGAAGTGGGGGACAGGGAGGTTATATTAGGGCTTAGAGATCATGTAGAAGAAAGGGAGGAAGGAAAGATCACTGGGGGCTGGAACTGAGGGTTGCTATAAGGACTGCTTGGAGATCAAGTTGGAAAGATAGATTGGCAATGATTATAGAGCACTTGAAATACCAGACTAAGGAGGGGATTTTATTCTACAGGAGCTGAAACACCATCCAAGGTATTTTAGTAGAAAATACAGTAATAGTGGGATTTTAGGAAAATTAACCTGTATACAATATGGTTAGGTAAAAGAGAGAGGAGAGCAGACTGATTATGAGGCTGTGCAGTCCAATTTTGAGGATAATTGGTAGCAGAGAAAATGGAAGGAAGGAATGATTTCAAGGGACATTGATTGTAAAGTGAGAAGAAACAACAAGACTTCAAGACTCTGAAAATAGGGTGGGGATGGTGAGCTACTTTGGGCAGTGGTAAATTTGAGGTTTTGTGCTTTTGCAGCATTGAGAAAAGTAGTACCACAGAGACAGAAATAAGGAAGATAATCCTGGATTGAACTAACCACTTCCTTGCCTTCTGTATCCAGGCCGAGTTTAGAAGGAAAATAATGACCTCTGCTCCTTTTTTTAGACGTGTGAAATTTGAGAGCTGCCAGGACAGCTAAGTGTCTGCCAGACATTTGGAAATGAGAACTGCAGCTCAGACGGGAAATAAGTGGATTGTCACTAACATTGACTTATGGCTGCCGCGTATTGAGGACTTCAATACCTGGCTTATTGTTTCCTTTATTGTTCAAAGTCCTGTTATAATCCCTAGTGCACCACCTATATATCGAGTTTATAAAAGGTTCAGATACATGCAAAAAACAAAACAAAAGGGAATCTGAAAATATGTTGATGGGCTCCAGATTGTTAAAAAATCTCGAGAAATGATTCTATAATCTCTACCGTTTTAAAAATATAAAACCTTCCCAAAGACTCGGTACACCTAATGTATGAGACAAAATGTGCACAATGTTTAGACTTCTTTATAGACCATTATAGAATGGAAAAGGTAAATTATAACATTCAAAAACAGATATCATGGAAGTGCTTCCCCAAAATTGCAAATAATTTCACTTGGATTTAAAACTGGACTTTAAAAAACACTCTCAGGGGCCGGCCCGGTGGCATAGCGGTTAAGTTCACACACTCCACTTTGGCGGCCCCAGGTTCACAGGTTCAGGTCCCAGGCACGAACCTACACACTACTCATCAAGCCGTGCTGTGGCGGTGTCCCATATACAAAATAGAGGAGGAAGGGCATGGATGTTAGCTCAGGGCCAATCTTCCTCAGCAAGAAGAGGAAAATTGGCAATGGATGTTAGCTCATGGCCAATCTTCCTCACCAAAAGCAAAAAAAAAAAAATCACTCTCAGGTGAGTTATGCCAAAATTTAAGAATGAGAATGTCAAGTTATCCATATAGAATAATTTTAGCATGCTCATAATGAGGAAATAAATTGAGGTGTCTTGCATCTCTTTTTAAGCATTATAATTCTCAAACTATTTCTCACTGTAAAGAAAAGATTACACTATTGGATATTGAGATTATTTTTAATCTGAAGAAGAAAATGATATAGAAAATTGCCATCATTTGCAGTGAAGCCAGTTGGCATTTCAAAGTAGGATTTTTGAGGGGAAATTTTATTATTATTTAATATTATTTTCTTATAATGCGTCAGAGGAGTTTATAACCACTGTTTTTAGAAACCATGTGATGCTTTCTGCTTGTTAAAGCTTTTATAGATTTCAGATAACCACCGAGTATTGAGTATTGGTTTGTATGGTATTTTTCATACATAATTTTAATGTTACTGTCACTTTATGCATTGGGGATTTGTGTGTGTGTCAGTGCCTCATGAATAATAAATCCACATCTTTTTAAAAGGTTATGTCTAGAGAAGATATTCCCACACTGGTTTCTCTACTCAAGAGCTTTATCAGGAGCTGAAGCAGTCAATGCCTTGAGGCCATTCTATTTTGCAGTACATCCAGATTTCTTTGGACAGCACCCCAGAGAAAGGGTAAACATTTATTTATTTTTTTAAGCTTTAGTCTACATTTCTATTTAGTTTATTCTTCTTTGATACTATATAAGACAGAGAGTTCTATAAATTTGGATTGTTCTGTCGTGGTGATATAATCAGTGTTTTGAATTAATTTGAAATATAGATACTGAAAATTGAAAATATAACTATTGTTTTTTATGAAATGTGAAAGAATAGAAAAAATATATATATATCTGTCTCTGCCCCTGGTTCCTGGCACAAAGCTCCTAAAATCTTTCTAATTTCCTAAGTGATCAGAACACTAGGAGCATCTGCTCTTCTAATATTTGTCTTTGATCCTGTCTCTGACACAGGGCTCCTAAAACCCTTGTAAATTCCTAAGTGATAAGAGCACTAGGAACATCTTTTGTTCTAATGGGATGACTCTGGATGGGTTCCTGGATGGCTCCTAGATGAGGGCTGGTCACCTAAGCAGTGATTAGGAGCTTGGAATTTTCACCTTCATGCTTCATCCTCCAGAGAAGGAAGAAGGGTTGGAAATGGAGTTAATAAATGATTGTGCCTAAGTGAGGAAGCCTCCATAAAATCCCAATAGTACAGGGTTTGAGGAGCTTCCAGGTTGGTGAACCCATACACATCAGGGGGGTGGAACACCCCAACTCCATGGAGACACAAGCTCCTGTGCTCGGGACCCTCTCAGACCTCACCCTGTGTATCATTTCATTTGGCTGTTCATCTGAATTCTTTATCGTATCCCTTAATAAACTGGTAAATGTAAGTGTCTCCCTGAGTTCTGTGAGCCGCTCTAACAAATTAACAGAACCCAAGGAGGAGGTCGTCGGAACCTCTGATCTATAGCCAGTTGGTCAGAAGCTCAGGGGATAAGCTGCGCTTGCCAACTGGCTTCTGAAGTGTGTGTGTTTGGTGGGGTGGGAGCAGTCTTGTGGGACTGAACTCAACCTGTGGGATCTGACGCTATCTCCAGGTAGATAGTGTCAGAATTGGGTTAAATTGTAGGACACCCAGCTGGTGTCACAGAGAATTGCTCGTTGTGGGGAAAAGCCTGCACACGTTTGGTGACCAGAAGTGTCAGAAGTGAAGTGTTCTGTGTGAGTAGTAAAGAAACCACACAGGAGACAGACTGAAGTGGGTTTTTCCTTTATATGAAAGCTGTCATTTTTATGCAGGCAATAAAGCTATCATGTAAACTCTTTAGAGTATTAGTAATCATGTTTTTTGTACCAAGTTTTAGAGTAAAATTGAAGGCTTGAAAGAAAATTTATGGCCTCTGTTACCATGCTAAATCCCTTTTTTAAGGATGATACCAGGAAGGTTTTTCAGTGCCTTGTTGACTCAAGTCTATAACCAATCTGTAGATCAAAATTGGGGTGAGTTTATTATGAGCCAACCCTGAGGACCACATAGCCCAGGGGAGTCCTTCCACAAAGGAATGGAGCACTCCAAAGAAGTGGGGTGTGCAGAGTGGTTATATACCGTCAAAGAGCATGCATCACATGTGATTGGAATGTCCCTTTTGCAGTAGTCACGAGATTGCTTTGCCAGCACAGCAATTCAGTGAATACAGTGGGTTGGTATGTCGCAAAGTAGATGGTCACAAGGTGAGCACGGCAGGTCAGCAATCAATCCTTAGTTTAGGGAGAGATGCTTATCCTTAAGGAAATGCTTGTGGGGGGGAGTTACATCCTTATCTTTAAGGGCATTGTTCTTGTCTTTGGGACATAGTACATACTTAAAGCAGATATACAGTGTGTGCTCAACGGCCACGTCAGGCCCTTTTGGAAAAACAAATTCAGGCCGAATTAGTTTTACACCAAATGGCTTCCTCATATACTCCAATATATCCTATTGTTTGTCATTTATTTATCAGCCCTAATGGTTTTGCTTTACGTTGCATGCTCCTGGTCCACTTCCATACAACATCAGTTAATGTGTGCTCAAGGAATGCCAACTGATAGGAAAAGTAACTTAAACTTAGTTAGGAAGGTCAATTATTTTTTAACGTTAGATAATATATTACAAAGCCAAATACTTTGGAATTGTCTCATCGCTTCCTTTTATCTTCCTTAACATTGATACCTGGTTTAACACAAAAAGGAATTTAAAACTCTTGAAAATTAGAACATTATTTTATTACTTTTTTTCTACTTGCAGTGGAAAAAAATCAATTTTGCTTCCTTGCTCTAGGAAAATATTCTGACTATGATATTTGGTATATATTTTGACTATTCGAAGTTGCATCCTTTCTAAGTAATTGGTAAACTGAATCAACAGAAAAATATCCACTACCTTGGGGATGTATTAATAACCTAAAGTTTTTAAACCCAACATGTATGGAAAAATTAAATCTCGTAATAGGTGACTGTTTTCCCTCCTCTACCAATGTATCTTTTTTTATTAAAACTTCTACACGCTGTAAAAGGTGAACTCAGCAGGCTTGGGTTGCTTAAACCCTGCACACTCCAAAGAAATACCTGGCTTTGATACTGCCCCTTGACTGCCCCCTGGGAGATGAGCTCTGAGCCCTTAAAATATCCTGCCTGATAAGAACGTCTTTGTATGCCTGAGGCCTTGGGCCACAGGAGAGAGTTTCTGCTAAGGATGTGATTTAAGGTGAACACCTGTTTTCGCATGTCTGAGGCCCTCTGGGGCACTGGAGACTGAATAGCAAAGGTCAGTCACATGGGTGCCACATGCCTACATGACTGAGCCCCAGTGAAAACCCTGGACACCAAGGCTTGGGTGGGCTTCCTTGGTCTGCAGCACTTCTCATATGTTGTCACACATCGTTGCTGGGGGAGTTAAGGCCTGTCTGTACAACTCCATTGGGGAGGACAACTGGAGCCTTGCGCCTGGTCCCTCCTGGTCTCTGCCCTATGTGCCTTTTCCCTTTGCTGGTTTTAATCTGCATCCTTTTGCTGTAATAAACCATAACCGTGAGTGTACCAGCTTTTCTGAGTTCTTGTAAATCCTTCTAGCCCATCATTGAACCTGAGAGTGGCCTTGGGGACCCCCAACGCAATATTCCTGGGATGTAATTGTTCTGGTAAATTTATATTTTCATTTACTCTTTCAGCTTGTGTTTGAGTGTCTACTCTGTGCCAAGCTTTTCCACTAGCTGCTTCCTCTGCTCAGATCATCCTTCCCCCGGAAGCTCATCCAAGCCTTGGCTTCCAGGGTTTTATTGGGGGTCAGTCACGTAGACGTGGCTTGTCCTTTACTTCCTTGTTTCAGTGTCTCTTTTCGGGGAGTCTCTTCCAGAATGCCCTATTTAACATGGGCACCCCCACCTTCCTTCCCAGCACTCCCTGTCCTCCTTCTCCCGCAGTACTTTTCTGTTGTGTTTTTCCCTTTCCAGGGACCATTTTTCCTTGCGTGTTAGATTTATTGTTTGTTTATTTTTCTCCCCTCTCTAAGATGCAAGCTCCATGAAGGCAGTTCACTCCTCTTGTCACCACACACTCAGTTCAGTCTTGTTCCCACTCTTACAGGACACACTTGCTCTTTTCTAAGGGAAACAGACTTGAAGTCCCATCTGGTCATGACATTAGGCCAGATCTCGGAATGAAGCACAGTTGTTTTTTTATCCTCTTCCTTTTAATTCATTTTTAAAATATGCAAAACATTTATAGGTTCAAAAACCAAAACTAAATACAAGGTTTACTCTGAAGTCTCCCTTATTTCCTTTACCCCATGCCTATTAACTTCCTATTATAGCTGCTTTTATTCGTTCTGGGTTGCTTTGCCTGTTTCTTTTTGGCAAAAATAGAAGCATGTATCAAAAAATAATTATGAAGATTTAGTCCTACACTAGCAGGAAAGGAACCTCAGCTGCTCACGAGACTGTCATGGCCAAGAACAGCACACTATAAATTAACAAACAAACAAAAATAAACTGTTCCTAATTTCAGATCACACTAAGTGTCTGAGAAGAGACCTAGAGTGATAAGAAGCAGAGTTATTTATGACATTCGGTGGCTGTTCCTTCTTTTTTCACTTAATCCTGAAAATCACTCCTTGTCGGTTCCTAGATAACTTCTACATCACATTCTTTCTCTTTTTTTTTCTTTTTGGTCATATAGTACTGCACTGAATGAATGTACCATAATTCAACCAGTCTCTTCTGGATGGGCATTTTAGGAGCCCTTTATATAGAGAGAAATTAGCCCTTTGCTATGAAATAACTTGCACATATTTTTCTCTCAGTTGCTTATTTGTCTTTAGACTGCTTATTGTGTATATGTATATGGTTTTTTATGTGGTTTCTTTTTTTTATTTTTTTCTGAGGAAGATTTGCCCTGAGCTAACATCTATGCCAGTCTTCCTCTATTTTGTATGTGGGTCACCACCACAGCATGGCTGACAAGTGCTGTAGGTCCACATCCAGGAACTGAACCTGTGAACCCTGAAGCAGAATGCACAGAACTTTAACCACTAGGCCATGGGGCCAGCCCCAATTTTTTTTTATTTTTTATGTTGCTGGATTTATCAATCATTTATTACTTTGAATAGTCATAGGCTTTTTCTACACCAACGTTATAAAGGAATTCAACCATGTTTTCTTCTAGTATTTACATGGTTACATTTTTTTTTTATATCTCAGCCATATGGAGTTCATTCTGTTATATGTTGTGAGATGTGGATTAAATTTTATCCTTTTCCAAACAGTATCAAATCCCAGTATTTTTTAATACTAAATTTTTTAATACCCTCAATAATGTGTTTAAAAGGTCAGGATATAATTTGTTGTTTCCTTGTTCTATTTTGTGTGTAAATGCCCCTTAATATTCTTTTCCAGGAAGTCAATGAAAATTCTCTTAAGAGATTAAGTGTCTACTTAGAAAACCTCCAGAAACCAGGCTTCAAGTCTTTGAAACCAACTCAGCTTACCTTTTATGTAAGAGAAACAGACCAGAATTCCTCTGATGGCCAGGAATCCTTTAGTACTGCCGGTATGTTTTCTTATTTCTCGTGTGTCCCTTGCAACAAGCTTCCTGTTTGAGTGTGTTCTTTCCATCTGACATTGCCAGAATACCTTTGGATTGAAGCCTTGGTTATAGAAAAACAATATCATTTAATCGAGTGATTTTCCTAGAATTAGGAATTTTTCCTAGAATTAAATGATTTTCCTAGAATTAGATTCTTTTCCTGACTGCATGTGTGTGACAAGCCATTTTTTGTGTTTAAACTTTTTTGTCGTTAAAACTCAAGTGTTCCTATTTGTCTCTTCCTATTTCAGTGCTGTTTTAAGTGTTAAACATGTATATAACAATTACTTTTTTTTAAATACAGCCTCCATTCTCTTATTTAGTCCTCAAAGTACCCTGTGAGTTAGGTGGTATTTGCCCGGTTGTAGCTTAGTAATGTCTGGTGACTTCCCCAGGCCTGTGAAGATAGAATATGGATCTTGAACCCAGGGCTTTTTAACTCCAGCCTTACACTGTTTCTGATATCTAAACAATCTTACTAGACAGGCTTCTGGTCTTTTGTCACTGCTTTAGCCATGATCCAGTAATACTTAAAATTAATGGCAACTATGGGTCTGTTACTTCTCTAGGTATACCTTTTGGTGATCCTCGAGGAAATGACTTTACTTTTAGAATGAACTTTAAAACAATTTAAAGATTTACTAAGAGCTTTCTGTGAGTTAAGGCTAAAATAATCAGAAAATACACTAAAATTTCTTCTGAAACAGACTATTATAAGACTCAAAATTTGATAGGTCTTTTGAGACCTAGAATCTGTTTCTAGCTGTGCCAGTGACTAGCTATGTGACCTTAACTTAATTTCTGGTCCTTCATTATTAAAATGAAAGAGGTAAAGTGCTGTGTGTGAGTACTGAGGTGCTCACACTGAAGGTCTCTGACTTATACCTAATGCTCACAAGGCTGGAAGGACCTTGGATGGAGTGAGGAGGAGCCTGATTTAAAAAGTACTAAAAGAGGATCTTTATGTTGAAGACAACTTCCCACCCAGTCTCTCTAGGGACGAGCAGTTGATAGTATATTTTCTCCTCTCTTTTATTCTCCCGTGATTGAATATGGGAGATCAGGAATCACAAATTCCTTTCTTTGGCTGTTTCTCCATCTACCTCTGATTTGGAGTTATATTGAAAATAGACCCTATTCGTCATTATTCAGAGACAAAAAGTCAACTCAGCCCTATTGTGAAGGAACAGTGCTTCTGAAGAATGCTATAAATAATAATAATAGTAGTAATATTAATAATAAATAATTACGTTGATCACTCTAAATGACACAGTTCTCTTTGGATGTATAAGTAATAATTATGAATGTGCTGTTCTTAGCCATGAGAGTCTTGGAAGCAACTGAGATACATTCTTTGCTAGAATAAGAACAAATATTCGTAGATATTTTTTAGTAGATACATGTTCCTATTACCCAGGGTCAGGATTAGGCTAGGAATTGAAAAAACATCATACTTACACATAGTGGTCTACTTAGGTTTCATGATTTCTCTAGGACAGATGGAATTTATAAAGGCAAATTACATCCTTTACAATTTTTAAAATAAAAATATTATCACCAATCTTTTTATTTTTATTTGTTTGGGAGAGTCAGGCTCATTTCTACGGCTACAACTACCATTTCCACTAGCACCATCAGCTGGGTTTGTCTTGAATATACTTGGAGTTAAAGAATAAACCAAGTTTGAAAGCTTAGAGGGAAACTTAGAAAGTTTCACATAGTAAATTTAGGGACAGAGCTGGTACTAGAACTAATGTCTCCTTATTCCTAGTCCAATGTTTTGATTTATATACCACATTATCTATTAATTCTTCTTTAAAAATATTGTTAATAATCATTTTTGCCTTTGCCTTTATGACAAAGATTGGCACTCAAAGATTTAAAATTTTTTTATGTCTTTATTCTTTTTATCTGATTATAAAATTAAGATCATGTCTTTTTTTTTTTTTGTGAGGAAGATCAGCCCTGAGCTAACATCCATGTCAATCTTCCTCTTTTTGCTGAGGAAGACTGGCCCTGGGCTAACATCCGTGCCCATCTTCCTCCACTTTATATGGGACACTGCCACAGCATGGCCTGACAAGTGGTGCATCGGTGTGCGCCCGGGATCCGAACCCGGGCCGCCAGCAGCGGAGCACACACACTTAACTGCTACACCACCCGGCCGGCCCCAAGATCATGTTTTTTTAAGTTTTTATTTTTAGAACACTAGAAATCATTAATCACCTTTTCATTAATAATTAAGATGGTAGTAAGGTAGAATGTTTACTAGTGATTTTCATTGCTGAAATTAAAGACCTAAATCATTTCTTCAGCCCTACATCTTTTTGATGGTCCAGGAGGAAATAAATTTTATTATTAGAATAAATTTTAAAACAAGTTAAAGATTTACTAAGAGCTTTCTGTGAGTTAATGCTAAAGCAAATAGTTGTAGTCAGCTCTGGCTGAGTAAGGAGAAAAGTCCTCTACTTTCAGTTAATGGTTAACTTTGAGCCATTCATAAGTAAAAATAGATTATAGGAAAAAAATAAATTAGAAATAAGAGAAAACATACAGCATATATGACAAAAAGATAATGTTAAAGAGTTCTAAGAAAACAAAGTAGCTCTGATATAAAAATAGGTAAAGACAATGACTAGACAATTCAGGAAGTAATACATACAAATAGCCAATAAGCATATAAAAATGTTTACCTTCAGTAATCAAACTAAATTAATTAGGTACTATTTCCCAGTAAGGGATATACAGGCATTCCACACTGTATAGCAGCCCTTACATTGGATTAAATAATTAATTGAATTGATAAATTAAGATAGAAACTGAGATTTGTTTCTTGACTTATCTCTTCTAAGGATAAACTATTTCTTCCTAACTTCAAATGCAAGAATTTGGATTTTCCTTTCCTCTTTCACTGACTAGAATAGTTCTCCTGCAGTATTTCTCACTTTACCATCAAATGAGTCAACTAAAAAATCTTTCTTAATGCATGTTCTGGATTCCATAAATCTGTGTGCCAAGCATAGTATGTATCTCTGAGAATGATTTAAATTGTCTTATCTGTCATCAGTGGCAAAGACAAGAAAATACATTTCAGCCTTGTAAGGAATGGTATAAAATTAAAAACTTTTACATCCATCAGTTTTGGAAATGTTAAATAAATTATGCTACATTCATTATATGGGCTAGTATATGGCTACTAAAAAGAATGAGGTTGATTTGTACATATAGATATGGGAGGGTCACCAAGGTGAAGTAACAAAAGCAAGTTCAAAGTAATAGACCCAGGATGGTACCATTTATTTATTAAAAAGAAACAATCAAAGCTGTAGGTGTGTGTTTGTGTAAACACATAGACACAGCATGGCATATTATATATAATTATACACACACAAGCACATAGAAAAGGTCTAGAGCAGTGCTGTCCAAGAGAACTTTCTGCAGTGATGTAAAGGTCCTCTATCTGCACTAACACAGCAGGCACTAGCCCCGTGTGGCTGTTGAGCACTTGAACTGTAGCTAGTGTGACCAGGAACTGAATTTTTAATTTAATTTAATTTAATTTTAAATAGCCACATGTGACTAGTAGCTACCATATTAGACAGTGCAGTCTAAATGCATATGTACCTAACTGGTAATATTGGTTATCTCTAGTAAAGGTGTGAGGTTGTGTGCCTGTTCACAGGACACTTTTATTTTTACTATATTTCTCTTTCTAATTTTACAATAAGGATATATTTATATAGTACTTGTATAATTTTCAAAACCAATTTAAAATATTTTTTCAAAAAAAGGAAAAATAAAAGAGTTAGCATGTTGTGGTAGTGAAGAAAATACTTGGCTTGATGTCAATTCAGATTTAAGCCCTCACTCTATTTTTCTTAACCTCCTTGAGCCTATGCTTCTCCACATTTGAGAAGAGAGATAATAATGGCACTGTTGGTGAGAGTGTTGATTGAAAATTACATAAATTCCATGCTAACACCTAATAAAGGGAAAAAAAACAAGCAGTAGATTTTCTATTGATGACTTAAGAAGTGAGATTACCAACCTTATCCCAATGACTACCCAGTATCAAAATCAGATTGTGAAGCACTAACCTTTAAACAGTTAAAGAATTTTAAATCACTTCTGAAAATACTGAGTTATTAGCTTGTTGGGTGGGCAAGTATGAGGACCGTCTCTTTCAGTCACCAAGAAAATTCGAGATGGGTTTCTAGGACCACTAAGACTAGATTGTCTGGCCCCTCTCCTGTCTGAACCACTATCACAGGGCAGCCTTCCCCACTTCCCTCCCTCTTCGTCTTAGTGCTAGAAACGATCTTTGGTGGACACTTGCTTCACCAAAGGAGAGCTTTTCCATCTCTAGACTATAGAGACCAAATTTATGGGCAGCACTGAAAATATTCTGAATCCTCTTCTTCGGCTGGGATGGGTTTGGTCAATGGTGCCAAACTAGAAAAGGGAGCTGACACTAGAGGAATTCATGAAGGTAAAGAGAGCATGGTCTAGTTTTGGAGAAAGGAAGTAGTTTTCCAATTACAGATGATTTGCCAATGGGATGAATTTTAATCAGTAATGGAATGTTGTAAAAGATTTTGATTCTATAAATGTTGTATGAAAAAATTTTTTTAAAGTAAAGCAAGTAATCATCTATATTAATTGTTTGGGGGAATTATATTCTCTAGGATTTCGAGCAGTCAAATTTACTTTGCACACCAGAGATCTGCTAAGCACAGTGTTATATATTCTCAACTCCTGCAGTTTATCTATTGAACATATCCAAAGCTTGAATACTAATGTGCATTCCCAGCCTCTCAAAGAGGCTAAAAGGATGCCTGACAGACCCATCAAATGGGACAAGTCTTATTACTCCTTTACTGGATTCAAGGACCCTGATGAAGACCTCGAACAAGTCTCGAGAATGGAAACAACCCTAACGTATGTAAAAGTTTTTATTTAACTAAATTTATTTGTAGTTCATGTTTAAAATTAAAGTCTAATTTTCCAGGAAAAGTAATGCTATCAATATAGTTAATCCAGTAACCATTATAAAAAAGATATTTCATGTTTTTTACTTAAAGTTGCCAGACTACTTAAAATTATATTTGATTTTTTGGTCTTTTGATACCAAACACATACAGGAGATTGTTTTGTTTTGTTTAAGTTTTTAAAATTCTACTCCTAAGGTTACCCCTGGTATGTGGAGAAAGGATATACCTAAGACTATAAAAAAATTTTTAAGCTTCTTCATATGTTAAACATTTCCAATTTCTTCAGAGAGTTCAGTAGTAATGTACTTTAGTGTAATACTCCATACATAATAAAAATACGTGTAGGCAACATTTAAAGATATCATCTGGAACAGATTGAGAAAGAATAATTTTTAGTTATAAAAACCATGTACAAAATATTTCTCTGTCATTCATCTCGTTTGTAAAGTCACCATTAACATATTTAGAGTAAGTCATTTTTGGACTCCATGAAGACCAACCACATTCTGTTCCTGTGTCTAAAGAGCGCGTGGCTTACCAGAGGATTCTCCCTCATTATATATGGTAAATTATCCTTAATTATCCACTGGCAGAGCATTTGCTTTGTGGGTTATCTATACTAACTCAGGAATTCCTCCCCTTGTTATCTAGCTAGATCCCAAATAAAGCTGAAGAGACAGGAAGGTAGCAGAGTCCAGTACCGAAAGGGAGATGTATCTGTCTGAAGGCGTGTGTGTACGTATCTGTGTGTATATATCTGTGGTGATGGTCTCTCTCTGGTATGTCTACATGTGTAACTGATAGATAATAACCTCCTCAAATATGTCAGTTTTAATTGTTTAGATTTTCTTCTGTAAAAAAAAAAATGAGAGGAAAATGTGGCTTTGGGAATGATAATTTAGTAATAGACCAGAAGTAATGAGACAGTAAGTAGTAGGGGTAAAAAAATAATGAAGAACAGTCACAGTGGGATAGAGTTTGATGAATTTAAAAATTGGTTTAGAAAAACAGAAGAGATAATTGAAGGTAAATTACCCACAGAGGCTGCAGTGGGAGTTAGGAAGATTGCTGTGAGCATGAGCTATAAGAGGGATTCTCAGCCTTGCATCCACTGGGATACAGTCTGTGAAACTTCTGCTTACACCCTCAAAAGGATATTGCTCTAATTATCTCACAGTGTGTCCTTGTGAACAAAAGATTGGGAACGCCTGGCCTAAAGGGTATAGAAAAAAAGTGGTATTGGATAAGTCAAGGCAAAAAAGCAAAAATGAAAGTCATTGGACCTTGACTCAAGAGACTTAAGAATAATGTGTTAAGGAAATTCAGAGAAGCAGTTAGTCTATGGTTCTGTTGAGTGTTTCATAGGGTAGTTTTGGTCTGGAGCTGGATGTGTGCCATTGGGAGAAGATTGTCCCAAGGACCCAGAACTCTGAGTTAGCCAGCTGGCAAACTAAGGAAAACAGATTAAAACTATGAAAAACCAATTCAACAAGATAAGATAGTTTGAAAGCTTTCGTATCTCTTATTTCCCTTACTTAACCCCGTTTCCCTGTTCCAGCATGTTCATATAGGCCCAGAGCCCCTTCAAACCCATCTTGACCTTTTCCCAAATGTGGGTATTGCTCAATTTGAAGGAACCTCTGCTGAAGGTTTGTCCAATGTTTTGATTCATGTTAGTTTTTCCCAGTAAGGATTCTAGGAGCTTATATCATGAAAGCCAGAATGGTACCTGTATCAATTTCTTGTTCAATAATTAATTTTTTTAAATTTGCAATTATTTTGCAAATAAGTATAAAATTGTTGAACCATTTGAAATCTTTCAAATTGTGTGAATGTAGCAACTGCCCCCTAGTGAGGAATTTTAGGGTACCTGTACCTCAGCCAAAAGTTGTTAGCCACTACTGTCCTTTTGGCCATATACAGTTTAAGTTTTTATTTTTATTCTTGTATTGTTTAATTCATCTTTATTATCTATGTAGGTTATAGAAGAGGGATTTAAGGAGCACGTGCTGAATTATATAGTTCAGAAGGAGCATAAAAATGATAATTCTGCAAGTTTACATCAAACTGATCTTCACCTGATTTACAAATGGCATTCACCTGATCAAAATTTATTCTTGAAATCATGTTAAGATATTTCTAATATTTCAGAACATAATATTAAAAAGAGAAAATATAACAGTATTATTTAGTCTAGACTTTTAATTTTTTAAATAATTTTGTTTTTGTTTTTGCCAAGAAGTGTAGGCTGAAATTGTCTCACCATTTTGAAGTAAAACACAGAAATTGTGAAAACGCATCAGTTGGGTTTTTTAAAACACAATGTAGAAGAATTATGAGGTTGTAAAAGCTCCATTTAATCTCTTTTCATATTACGTGTGGTAATTACATTTCAGTCTACAGTTTAGGACATACTATGTAATTTTGAATTTCTCAGCAAATTGTGCTTTATCTTACTTTAAAATCACTTTACTATGTATCATATAAAAAGAATAAAATGCAATTTTTAATACCTAAGGAGTTTTTTTTAATTATATACTATAAAAAAAGGAATTTTCCAGTCTAAAAAAACTAGGAAATGCTACTCTGTCTTGTAGATTTTAGTATTTCTGTATTTTGGATATAATATTATAACAAAAATACATTATAGAATTTGTGTTTGGAAGGAAACAAGAGGATCCATTTGTATCTAAACAAAATAATCCCATATGTAACGTCTGTCCCACTGAAAAAACATGTCACTGAACTATAGAAAGACCGTTGAATTGCTATTCTGTTAGCTACTAAGGTACTAGTAAATGTCAGACTTCCATTTTTTCTATTTGAAGTTTGCTCAAGTAGTTATGTTTCACTTTCGGGGTCTAAGTTCAGAATCAAGCTTTAGTGTCCACGAAATGGCACATTGGACAACTATAACATTGGAATTACTTCTGTAGGATGTTTGGGAATTTTATAGTCATGATTTAACTCATATCATGCATTTATTTACTCTTCCCTGGTTTATAGGCTTGAGTCACGTGTTTCAGATTGTAAGTCACAGCATGCAATTTAGTGGTTTGGGACTGGCAAAGTTGTTTTGCTTTGCTTTGTTCCTTTTTTACGTTTGTTAAATATATATTGTCAGTAATTTTAAGTATTGTTTCTCAAAATACTTGTTTTAGTTACACATAAATATACGTGTGTGTTTGTGTATGTGTCTATGGGTATACTGGATCACCATTTAAAATATTTCTTACCGTGGGTTGCCATCAAAGAAGTTTGAAAAGCTATTGGTGTAAATGCTGTACTTTGTTCCATGCCGTTTGAGGCCTAGGAGTATGAAAGTTATGCCATTTTAACTTTACTGCACTTTGATTCATGGCTCTTCTTTTCGTTCTCTTAAACCTATGAAAATCTGAACTTCTCTTGAGTTACTGAAATATTTTTATCTCAAAAGCATCACGACCCTAGGAACTAGACCAAATGTCTTCAATTTATAGTCCAACTTTAGACCCTGTGCATGATATTCCTGCATTCATTTTTATGTACCACTTGCCTTTAGCTTCATTTTCAGCTTTTTTTCTCTTTACCCAGATCTTATAACAATACATGTATTATATTTATTATTATAAGGGTAATAAAATCATTTTTGAACCAAGGCAAGGTCTAATAAACAAATTAACCACCATGAGATACCACTTCATACCCTGAGATGGTTATAATCAAAAAGAGAATAACAAGCATTGGCAGGGATGTAGGGAAAAATAAACGTCCACACAAAAACTTGTTCGTAGCGGCATTATTCATAATAGCCGAAAAGTGGAAATAACCCAAATGTCCATCAACTGATGAGTAGATAAACAAAATGTGGTATATTCATACAATAGGGTAGTATTTAAGCCATAAAAACAAAGCACTGCTATATGCAACAGCGTGGATGAACTTTGAAAACATTATGCTAAGTGAGAAAAGTAATCACAATGGGCCCCATATTGCGTGATTCTGTTTATGTGAAATGTCTAGAACAGGCAAATCCTAGAGACAAAGTGGTTGCCTAGGGCTGGAGGGGAGGATTGTGGTGACTGCTGATGGATATGTGATTTCTTATTAGGATGATAAGTGTGTCCTAAAATTGATTGTGGTGGTGGTTGCATAACCTACTGAAAAGGTTAATGAACACAAAAAATAATTCTGAAAATTTGTCTTATGATGACCTTCACCTGACTTGTTAGTTGCATTGATTTGATCAAAATTCTGAAACACATGCTGGTGTCTCCTGTACATCAAGCACCAAAATTATAAAATTCTTTTTTTTTTCCGATTTGGTTTTTCATATATTCAAGAATAAAGATATTCTATACAGTTTTTTTCCCTCCACAGAAGTGCTTGAAAATACTAGCCTGAAATTTATACTTTCTTTTTTATCTTTTACTTCTATTTTGACATAATTTCAGACTTATAGAATACTTACAGGAATAATACAAAGAGTTATATACCTTCCATGCAGATCCCCCCAAATGTTAACCTTTTACCACATTTGCTTTATCATTGTCTCTATATATAGACATATTTTTTTGGAACCATTTTAGAGTAAATTGCAGCCACAATATCCCTTTACCCCTAAATACTTAGTTTGTATTTTCTGAAATACAAGGACATTCTAACTATAGGCTAACTGTAAAAATCAGGAAATTACCATTTGATAACAGTACTATTAGCTAATCCTTAGAACTTACTCAAATTCACACACTCATTTTCTGAGTACTGCCCTTTAGTAGGAAAAGAAAATCTCAGATCCTGAGTCGCATTCAGTTAGCATGTCTCTTTAGTCTCCTTTAATCTAGAATGGTTCCTCAGTGTTTGTTTTCTTTCGTTACCTTGGTGTTACCTTATAGACAGTCCCTCAGTTTGAGTATGTCTGATATTTCTTCATAATTAGAGTCAGGTTATTCATATTTGGCAGGAATACCCCAGAAGTGATGTTGTATTGTTTTCAGGAATATATAGGAGGCAAATGATGTTGATTTGTCCCGTTACTAGTGATATTAACTTGGATCACTTGATTAAGTTGACATCTCCCAGTTTTTTCTACAGTAAATGTACTATTTTTCCCTTCAATTAGTTTCTTTTGAGGAGATATTTAGGGCTATGTAAATATCCTTTTACTCACCAAATTTTTACCCCCTGGCTCTGATGTTCATTGATGATTCTTGCCTGAATCACATATTACTATGATGGTTGCCAAATTGTAATTTTCTCATTTCATCATCCCCTCAAGTTGGCTCCTGTGTCCCCATCATTTTTTGAAAACTCTCCTGCTTTCTGGTTCATGAAAATGTTTCAGGATCCTCCGGCCTCTCCTTGCCCCAGTGCTTGACTCAGCCTTTTTGCCAAGCTCTGGTTCTTTCTGGTAGGGAATGGTTTTTAGAAACCAAGATCTGGGTGCTACATGTGCTCAGTAGCTACTGAAACTCTCAGTGGCCAGAGCTAGATATCTTTATATCTATCTATCTATCTATCTATCTGTCTGTCTATCTATTAAAAGCCATGTTTAGAACCTTCATTTTTATCTCCGTGTTTAGAAACAAAACACAAAAATTGTTAAACTAGCCTAGTTCATTTCTATACACTAAATGTAAGAATTCCAAAAATCAAATCATGAATATATAATCATAAGATGATATTCCAATCTATATTTTAAGACATTTGGTCCCCAAACCAAACATGGTATACCATTTAATAATTCATTTGTCAGCGAATCATGCTGTCTCTTATATGGTTTAAAGTAAATTGAATAACGTGTATTACTTAATAAATGAGGAAAATATTGAAAAATTGTAATGCAATAGCTAATAATACTAATGTAAAGTAAGATATTTACTTATTTTCTTATTTAGCACACACTATGCAGAGATGACAAAATTTTTACCAATGTTCTTAAAGGAGAAGTAGGAAGGGTCATTAATTACTGTGCAAAGTTAATAAATTAAAAAATGTTGAACACCTTTACCTAGAAGATAAGGTCCCAATTCCTTCTGGTGTGCAAAAACCCTTTATGGCCTGTCCTCCTCCACCTTCCCCAACCCTGCCTCTCCAGTCTCAGCTTGTGCCTCCCCTCCCTCTAGGCATCATATGATCTGGGCATATTGGTTCATCTTATCATTCCTTATGCACTAGCGTGATTGGCATGCCCTTCCTTCTCACTAATCTGCCTGGAAAAATCTGATACATCTCTCAGGTTTCAGGTTATATATCACCTGTTTACAGAACCTTCCAGGCAGAATTAATTAACTCTTTCTCTGTTCTCATAGAAGTTCATATATTCTATTCTAATAGCTTATCTCTATATCCCATATTAGATGTGTCTTCCTTTGCACAGTGAATTTATCTTCCTTATATCCCAAAACACACAATATCAGGCATTCAGGATAAATATTTGATAAATGCCTAATGATTTGATTGGTTCCAAGATTATCAAACTGATAATTTTTAAAATGTCTATTATGCCAGCACCTGTTAAATCATATTCTAGCTAATGACAACTTCCATTGTATATAAAAAAGTTAAATTTAATTACACTAAAAAATTAAAGATACTTCAAAACCTTTCACTATGTTTATTACAGCTTTCAGTAGGCTATGCCAGATCTTCACTTACATCAGTCATATACATGTGAGGGTAGAACTACTACCACTATAAGAGCAAATGAGCAAATAATGTTTGCTGCAGCTAGTAAGGTGAAAAAGTCAAACTCAAAGACACATCCATTGGTACCAGTGACATTTAAAAGGCAACGCATCCTGATGAAGGAACTTACAAATGTTACTTTGTGGATTCTAGCTGGGTAGACTGCAATTGCTTCTTTATTTTAATCTTGGTTATTAGTACCCTGAGTTGTCAATGCTTATTCCCACATCTCTCTATCCAGGCCTTTCCATTGGTCAGACCTTACCAATCCAGTCTTTTCACCACAGAGTTTCCAAGAACACCTCCCCCTTGCTGGCTGGTCTGTTGACTACCTTGGTGCTCGTTTACACCTCCCTTCCTCTCCATCCAACCAAATGCCTAGTTTCAGTTTCATCTCAACTACTTCCGTCTACACTTACCTCTCCCCGCCTTAGTTTTGTACTTATAATTTGGTAAAGGTTTGACTGGAAACTCAGTTTAACATCGGGGCTGCTTTAAGGTAATGCATGTCTTTTAATAGTAGGAATGTTTGCATTATAGTTAGTATTAGAAAGTGTGTATCTCTGTTTTTTTTCTTTCTAGATCCTGGTTAGATAACAATGGAAAAAGTGCTGTTAAAAAGCTGAAGAATAGTTTGCCACTTAGGAAAGAACTAGATCGTTTAAAAGATGAACTGTCTCATCAGTTGCAGCTCTCAGATATCAGGTAATACAGAGAGAACCTAATTTAGAGATTGAAATAAATATGTACTATCTATTGGTAAAGCTTTCCATCAGTTAAATATTTGCATCTTTAATCATTTGATAACTAAATATTCTTCAATTGTCTTTCTATGAAAGTAATCAAATGTTCATGTATGTTAGAAAACTATTATCAATTTCTTGTTTAAAATAGTGAAGTAAAGTTTAGATATTGATATTTTTAGCATAATTGAACTTTTTTTACATAATGAGTTTGTAAGGAAAATATCCTTTTCCATATACACATAATGTATAAAAAATAATATTCCAATTCAAGTAAGATTGGTATTTGAGTTTAAAAAGGAAGAGAGAAAATGGATGTTGTATTCTTAGTACTATGTCACATAGCATGACTCTTTAAGTTTTCATAAACTGGGAAATCGCAGTTAAATAAAGATACATGCTGAAGTTTATTATAAAAGTAGATTTAACAGCTGTTAAAACTATAAGGAAGGGAAAAGGAGGGAGTCATGTGATTCAGTCATGGGACTTCCCATTACAAGAGCCCTGAAAACCTGTCACCCAGTCTCGTGCTTAAACATTTCTGTGACTGTTTGCTGTAGCCTGTTTTGTTGTTTTCAACCCTCACTATCAGGAGTGTTTTCTTATATTGAACCAAATGACTATTTGAGGACCATAGTAGCACCTTGTTCCTGTGCTTACAGAGTACAGATAGTACTTACATGTTCTGTTCTTGTGTATTCAAATCATTGTTTTCTAAGATAATTCAAATATCAAAGGAAAGTGTTTAGACTTGGATTATGTGGGGTGTTTGGACTTGTGCTGATAGCTGCTCTTTTATCATCACATCAATAGTTTTAGGCCAAGCTTTGATTATAGGGGTTCTTCCAGTTCCACAGTCTAGTAACATAGACTTTCCTAACTAAAAACCAAATAATAAGATGCTTTTTTTGTGTGTGTGAGGAAGATTAGCTCTGAGCTAACATCCGGTGCCTATCCTCCTCTTTTTCCTGAGGAAGACTGGCCCTGGGCTAACATTCGTGCCCATCTTCCTCCACTCTGTATGTGGGACGCCTGCCACAGCATGGCTTGATGAGCGGTGCATCGGTCCGTGCCCAGGAGCTAAACTTGCGAACCCCAGGCCGCCAGAGCGGAGCCTGCAAACTTAACTGCTATGCCACTGGGCCGGCCCCCAATAAGATCCTTTATAAAGTTTATATGATAAACAAATTCATGTACATAAAAATAACTTTTTCTGGTATAAATATTAAAAGATCTGTCCAAGAGACTGGGATTAGGAAAATGAAAGAATTTCTTAAACACAAAAAGAAATAAGCATTATTTTATAATATTGTGGAGAAATTTCTCAGCTTTAATTTTTACTATGGTAAATATCAATAGATATTACCCACATAAACAAAAGCTCTTTGGGGTTCTCAATTTTTGAGTACAAAGGGGTTGTGAAACCAAAGCATTTGAGGACCGTGGACATGGCGACTTCTCCACTTATTGGAAAATTAGTCACGTCTCCAACCAATGCAGATGTTGTGACTGATGACATTGTTTCTAATTCTGGGCAGCCTACATGAAGAACCATTCATTAATAAGACAGCATTTAGTAGCTTTATCACAATGTTAATTCTTTGAAATTATGTCTTAGTTTTTCAATTGTGGGTTAAAGGAAAAATTTTAAAAACTAATTTCATTTGACCAGAAATGATACTCATCAGAATCAGCGTTAGGATGAAGAAGGATTCTAAGTTTTTTGAGAGCCTGTTTGAGTGCCTCACTCCTTCACACATGTTATCCTCTTTGATTTATACCTCCTGTGCTGTAGCAAATGTCCCCACTTTGCATGTATGCAAGAGAAACCTTAGGAAGGCTAGAAGCAACTTGTTCAAGGTCACAGAACTAGTAAGTCACAGAATTAGAATTCAGAGGTGGCTTTTCTGATGCCACTTCAGACTAGTGCTCTTTACATTTACACAGTAGTGCCTCTGTGACATCATATGAATATCAGATTCCATTTTGTCACTAAGATTTAATGTTCATTCGTAAAATCAGCAGATGACATGATGTCATAAAAATCACTTTCTCTAGAATAAGCTAAAAAAGATCTCATAAACCTGACTGGAATTCCTAATTAGAACTTAAATCTAAAACAAAATCATCATCATTGAACAATGTGGGAAAGAAAAAGATTTTTCTTAAAGTTTTCCCATTTCATTCTCTTATTTTATTATTTTTTTTCCTTTTTTTTTGCTGGGAAAGATTCACCCTGAGCTAATATCTGTTGCCAATCTTCCTCTTTTTTTTCTTCCCTCCTCAAAGCCCCAGTACATCATTGTATATTCTAGTTGTAGGTCCTTCTGGTTCTTCTATGTGAGCCGCCGCCACAGCATGGGTACTGACAGACGAGTGGTGTGGGTCAGTGCCTGGGAACCGAACCTGGGCCACTGAAGCGGTGAGAGCAGGGAACTTTAACCACTAGGCCATCAGGGCTGGCTCTCATTCTCTTATTTTAAAATGGAAACAGCGTAGCGTGTTTGCTTGTTTTAGGTCTTTGGATACCTAAACACGATAGTAACGTTTTTACTCTCTGGTGAACAATTCATTTTCCATTTGGTTGCTTCACGAAAAATGAGCTAGTTTGGAAACATGTTGTGTGCCTACTTGAGAAAGAAAGTCATCGACTTTCCCGGGAATGGAGCAGCTAGGGTGAATGCACGCTCCCTCCCACAGGGATGCGGTGTTAATGCGCCTGTGTGCTCTGTTGGACTAGGTGGCAGAGGAGCTGGGGCATTGCCCATCGCTGTAGCCAGCTGCATAGTTTAGGCCGCTTAGCGCAGCAGAACTTGGAAACACTTAAAAATGCAAAAGGTAAACACTTTTCATTTTCTTTAAAATGTCACTTGGCTGCAATATATACCTGTAAATTGTAGAGGAAAACTAAGTGTTAAAAGTCTTTACAGATGTGACTTTATCACAGCGAATTTTTAAATCTATTCCTTTGAATAAAACAGTGACATAAATTAGCCTCTAAGCTTCTACTGAATTTAATCCTGAATTTATACATTACATTTAAGTAATTATTTGCACAATGCTAAAAGAATGAAGCATCTCTGGACAGTGACCAAAGAGTTTGTGTTTTATCATCAGGCTGTACACTAGTATTTACAGACCGTTCCGGGATGAGTGCAGTGGGCCATGTGATGCTAGGAACAATGGATGTCCATCATCACTGGACGAAAGTAAGGAAAAGCTTAAAAGCAAAAAATCTCTGATTTGTCATCCACATACTTTTGTTTCAAACTATGTTATCATGTCAATGAACTAAAAAAAATTTAATTGTAGTTTCAGCTGTTTTCAGCTCAGATGCTTAATCACATGTAGTTGAGATACTTAGAGGACTGATTTTTAAGTCAATTTTTATTTGGAAATTTTCTTTTCTGAAGCATAGCCTAAAGGCCTGCATTCTGTTGTTTTGTTTTTAACTGATTTCCTGTGGTCTAGTTCACATACAATAAACTGCATATATTTAGTGTCTATAATTTGATGAGATTTGATATATGTAAATACCCATGAAACTATTACCACAATCAAGATAGTGAACATATCCATCACCCACAAAAGTATGTCATATCTTTTGAAAACCCTCTCTTCCATCCCACCACCCCTTCTCCAAGCAACCACTGGCCTGCTTTCTGTCACTATAGATTAGTTTATATTTCTAGAGTTTTATATAAGTGGAATCACAGAGTATGTACTTTTTTTTTCTTTTTTGGAGAGGGTTCTGATTTCTCTCACTTAGAATAATTATTTTGAGATTCATCCATGCTGTTGCGTGTAGCAAGAATTTATTCCTTTTGATTGCCTTATAGTATTCCATCCTATGGATAGACCACAGTTTGTCTATCCTTTCACCTATTGGCGGACATTGGGTTATGTCAATTTTTGGCTATTAGAAATAAAGCTTCTATGAACATTTATCTACAAATGTTTGTATGGAGGTATATTTCCCTTTCGCTTGGGTAAATACCTAAAAGTGGAATGGTTGTATCATATATTAGGGTATTTTACCTCTTGAAGAAACTGCTAACACTTGCTATGGTCATCTTTTCATTTTAGCTATTCTGATAGGTCCGTGGTACTGTCTCAGTGTGGGTTTAATTTGCATTTCTCTGATGATGAATGATGGTGGGCATCTTTTCATGTGCTTATTTGCCATCTGTGTATCTTCTTTGGTGAAGTATCTGTTCAAATCAAATATTTGGTAGAAAATATTTGCAAACCACATATCTGACAAAGTCTTTGTATCTAAATATGTAAGGAACTCTCAAAATTCAATAGTAAAAACAACCCAGACAATCCAAAAAGACAAAAGACATGACAGACATGTCACAGAAGAGAGCATACAAATGACAAGCACATAAAAAGATGTTCAACATGATAAGCCATAGGAAAATGCAAATTAGAACCACAATGAGCTATCACTACACACTTATCATAATGGCTAAAATGAAAAATAACGACACCACCAAATGCTGGCAAGGATGCAGAGAAACTGGATCACTCATCCATTGCTGGTGGGAGTGTATAATAGTACAGGCACTTTGGCGTAGAGTGTGGCAGTACAAAACTAAACATGTGCTTAGCATACAGCCCAGCAATTCTACTCTTGGGCATTTAGACTGGAGAAACGAAAAATTATGTTCACACAAAAACCTGTACACACATGTTTGTAATAGCTAAAAACTAGAAAAAACCCTAATGTCCTTCAGTGTGTGAATGCTTAAACTGTGGGACAATGGAATTCTACCAGCAGAAAGAAGGCATGAACTACTGATACCTGCAACAGCTTGGGTGGGTCTCAAGGGCATTGTGCTGAGTGAAAAAAGCCAATCTCAAAAGATTACATACTGTATGATTTCATTTATATAACATTCTTAAAATAATAAAATTATAAAAAGTACAGATAATGGTTGCTGGGGGTTGGGAAGTGGAGGGGCAGAGGTGTCAGTGGCTATGAGAGGGTATCACAAGAGATCCTGGTGATAGAACCTGTCTGTATCTTGAGTGTGGTCACGTCACATGAATCTAACACGTGATAAAATTGCGTACAATTTAATACACACAAACGAGTGTAAGTAAAACTGATGAAATCCAAATAAGGTTAGTGGGTTGTATGCCTGTCAGTTTCCTGGTTGTGATATTGCACTGCAGTTTTGCAAGATGTTAACATTGGGGAAACTGGGTGAAAGATGTGTGACTCTGCAGTTAGCTCAAAATAAAAAGTTTTTAAAATATAGTTGCCATTTATACATGAATAACCCATTGAGAGAAAAATGGAAAAAGTAGGTAGTGAAATTATTTTTCACAAAGTGTTAGAAGTACATTATAAATAATTTGTAGAATTTTTATACTGCTGTTTCTTTTATTACAGCAGAGTTGTTGATGCCTTTCAGCTCCTCTGAAAGCTGTGTAACGGCAGCTCTCTGTGTAAAATCTGAGTCCTTAGTGGAGCACCCCGGGCCCTCCCTGACCTCGCCCACCTGCCTCTGCAGCCTCTTCTCTCCATTCCCCATAGGCATGCATGCTCTGGCCGTACCAGACTCCTTGCTTTTGAACCTGCTGTTCCTGTTCATGCTTCCATGTGTGCACATGCTGTTTTCTTCCCCTAGAACATTCCCAGGTGCATGTAACCTTTTCTGAATCCCATTTATCTTTTTAGATAGGTCACCTTAGACTTCCTTAGAAACCTTCGCTTGAACCTCCCCTCTGTATGCATTCACCCAGCCATGGCACCTAGTACACTGAATTCCGGTTTTTGTTTTGTTTCCTTGCACCCTGACTGTGAGCCTCCAGTAAACAGGGACAAACTCATAATCTGTACACTCGAAGTGCCCAGTTTAGTGCTTAAGGACGTGGTGGGTGCTCAATAACATTTATTGCATTTAATTGAATTTAGTTGCATTAAAGTAAATTCTGAAGAAATAGACTTGGAGTTGAGATACATATACTTTATTTCTAAAACTTTTTTAGTATACCATTTAATCATTCTAAACTAATTTAAGATTTTTACCTAAATATTTAAATATTAGTACTTAGGACTTTTTTATTTGGAACATATTTCTTTTTTTCTGTGATCTCTTCAATTCCTATCTAAAAATCCCTAAGATTTACAGTGGTTTGTTTTGAATATTCATATTTCCAGCATTATATTAAGTCTTTTTCTTATTGCTTACTTGAACTTTCCTTCTAGGAAAATAATTTTCTTGTTAAAATTTCTCAATATCATTTATTGGAGTCCTAAAATTGAGCTATTAAAGTAACATAAAACTAAATATTTCTTTCCTTTTTTTTTTTTAAATACTGTAGCTTTTTGAAAGATTACCAAGTTATTTTGACCTTCAGAGGAGGCTGATGCTCTTAGAAGACCAAATAAGCTATCTTCTAGGTGGCATGCAAGTTGTTTATATTGAAGAATTACAGCCCATGTTGACCCTTGAAGAATATTACTCTCTTCTTGATGTGTTCTATAATAGACTGATGAAAAATAGAATACTTTTTCACCCTCGAAGTCTGCGTGGTTTACAAATGATCCTTAACAGGTAAATATCTAAAACAAGAATGACTTTTATTCATTCACTTAGATGGATTGTTTGTGTAAGGGGATTAAATTGTTTTGTATTTCAGTGTGTGACTCTTAGGAATTAAAGAAAAGTATGTCACTACTTCTTAGTAACACTCTTTTACACATTAGAAAAACTAGCATGAGAGGATTGAAGAATTGAATCTCTAAAACGTTCTGTAAATATATTGCCACTTACAGGGCAAAGGCAATTATAGGATTAAACTAATGTAAGGTCAATAGCCAACGTTGTTTGTGCGTAGACTGTTTTCCAGGCACTGTGCTTGGTGCTTAAGTGCATTATCTCTTTCGTTCTCACAACCTCACCATGAAGTGGCTTACTACCCCATTTTATGGATAAGGAAGTTCTCAGGGCTGGTGTTCATCCTAATAAAGTGTATCTCTTTGGGGACAGCAAAACTTTAAGTCAATTTTGCTATACTTTTAAGGTGAATTTTCTTGATGAATTCCTTTTGTGTTAATCAGGGGAGGCGGAGTAGGGGATGGAGGGATCAATGATTTTTCCTTTTATGTATGTTTCATTACAGTGACAGATACGCTCCAAGCTTGCACGAACTCGGGCATTTTAACATCCCAACCCTCTGTGATCCAGCAAACCTCCAGTGGTTTATTCTCACCAAAGCCCAACAGGCAAGAGAGAACATGAAAAGAAAAGAAGAGTGAGTATTGTTAGCCCTCTGTAACGTCTTATCATTCAGTCTAACGTCTAAAAATTTAGGTATTCAGAACTCATAAATATGGGGCATTAAAACTGTATTAAACTTGGGAAATTGGCTGATTTGTGGATATACTGTAGTTATATACTCCCCACCTTGTTCTGCTAGGGAGTGGATGTGGCTGTTTTCTAGGTATGATAACCTAAATTACATTACCACCATGTACCTCCATTTGAGAAGCAGGGCTTGTTAATATAAAAGTCAACTCAGGAGCAGAATGAAAGGTAAGAATACCAGAAAGAAATTCTCCAGATGGAAAAGGGTGGCAACAGGGAAAAAATAAGTTATACTTGATTAACAGGAATCTTCTTTGTTTAAAATTTTGAAAACTACTGATATAAAGCAAGCTTCGTCTGCATTTTTATTAAGTTGTGAAGAAATTGTAAAGTAAAAAATTGTTGTAGTTCGTAAGTGGTGCTGTCTCTGTGCTGTTTGTATCTTTGAGAGAATCATATAATAGCCACCAGTTTCCCATGTTGTAGGTGGTAAGATACTGCTTGATAATGTTTTATGTATCTGCTGTGAAGAAAGGGGAGAATAGTATATTCAAAAGAGGGTTGTTTTCCTAAAGACATTGCCTAAGGAGGTTTGGTTACCAAGGGTTTATTCATTCTTTCATTCATTTAGCCATCATTTGCTATGACTTGTGTGCCTGAAGCCATGAAAGGTGCCATTGATAGATGAAGGCCTGCTCCCTGCCCTCCTGGAATTTGTTTCTGGTAGGAGACGTGAGTGCTATAAACATGTCTGTGGTGGCCGGACCACAGAGTGGAGCTGAGCGGGAAGAGCCAAGGCTGACACTCTGGGAAGAGAACCCGGAGCATTGAAGGGAAGGCGATGGCCGAGGAGAATGCGATGGCACATGTCCAGGGAGGGGGTACAGAGGACAGGGACTGGAGCCTGGTAGGTGGAGGATGGTGGTGATGGTTCTGCAGTGTGCTTCTGAGGCCCTGGGTTACTTGTTTCTCCTGCCTTGCTGCCCATTCACTCCTCCGTCCCCACAAATTGCTCATTTAAAAAGCCAAAGATATGAAATAGAGAGAAAGGGTGGCAACGGAGGAGAGCCATGGAATTCATCCCTTTAATAAGAGATAATGGGATCATTTTATGTATAAAATAAGTGAAGAAGCTGCATCTCTTTGTTTTGCTTGTGGAATTGGTGACAACTCTGTTGACCAGATCCTATTGCACGAATATCCTATCTCTTGATTGGTTGGTAAACATTTGTGTTTGTGATGTTACTTTTCTAAATTATCAGTCTGTTGCCAAAAAACCAGGACCTTGTCACCATAGCCGAATCAATGAACACAATGACAAGAGATTGAGGAAAAGAAATTTTTAATTTTGCTAGCAAAATGAGGACGTGAGAGGCCAGTGCCTCAAAACCCACTGTCCTCCTGAAGTGCTAATAGTTGGGTTTTTAAAGGGAAATCCATGGGAAAGAATGTGTTGCACAAGGTTTTAAATGGGGGAGAGGGACCTGTGGCTTCGTAGGTTGGCGCCTTCCCATCAGCCTGCATTTGGCCTTGTGCAGCTGTCTGCAGGGAGGAGGATGGTGAGATAGGGGAAGCCACAGGTGGGTGTCCTTGGTTGTCTTGCTCTGTGGTGAATGGTGGATTTCAGTGCCAGGAAGCCAAAGAGATGGGGGCTAGGAAGCCTCATCTTCTTGATATTCTCTGGATATCAGTTTCCCTGTAACAAACCTCAAGAACTGGTAATTAGCCAAAACTTCAGTGTAAGGCTACCTGGGCTTTTGACAATTTGTAATTTCTATTTGCCTTGCCAAGTTCAGGGATACAACGGTTGAGAAAACTGATATTTACATGTGAATGTAACTTAGAGAAGCAGGGAAAGGAGATGAGTGCTTTTGGTTTTAACCCTGTATATGCTGGGTTTAACGGAAGGGAACTGATATAAGGGCCGGCATCCAAGTCCAGCCAGCCTTTGGTTGTGAGGGCTGATGGTTTTGTTTGCTGCATCATAGCAGCTTTTTCTATCTTCTGTATGGCCATTTTATGCTTTGGAATATTGCTACTAGATTCTGAGGAAAGAAAATAAAAAGAGATAAAATTCCCATAGTTTGGGTTTTGAAAGTTCCATCCTACAGTTGCCCAGGTAAACAGAAACCCTTGAGTCATCTGATTCCTCTCCCGACTTCCTCACTCCCCGCCTCCAGGCCACCAGGACCTCTCAGCTCCACCTTCTTAGGCTGCCCAGAAGCTGACCACTTGCCGTGTCCTTTACTGCTGCGCCCTTGACCATGTTGTGATGACCTGTCTGGTCTCCAGGCTTCCATTCTCGTACCCCCACCCCATCCCAGTCGCTTCTCCTCAGAGCAGCCAGAACCCCAGTTGAGCGTGGCACTCCTCTGCCCGTCATGCCTGCAAGGCCCCGTCGTCTGCCCGCTGCCTCGTGAACTCCTCTCCTCACTCTCCCCTCGCTCATTTTGCTCCAGCCAGGCGGCCTTTTATCTTCTTCAAGCACACTGTGTGCTTTTCCCCTGCCCTCCCTGGAGCACGTCTTCCCCAGACAGCTTCGGGTTTGCCCCTCACCTCCCCCAGGTCTCAGCTTCCGCCTTCTCTGTGAAGTCTTCCCTGAGCACCAACTTTGAGTACAGAGCCACCCCCCACTGCGCTTCCTTACTCTCTGCCTTCCTCGGGCGGCCTTTCCCCGTGGCACTCACCCACATCTGACAAACTGTTTCCCTCGTTTATTTACTGTCTGTCTCCCCCAAGACAGAATGTGAGCTTCGTGAGGGCAGAGACTTTTGTCTGTTTTGTTCCCTCCAGTGCCAGGATCAGTGCCTGGCACACAGGAGGCCTTCAGTCAATACTCACTGACTTTCACGTGTTTCCCTGGCCCCTTTCTGGCTCTGGACTCCGGAGCCCTCATCCCTGTGCTTATCCCCCACTTACCTTCCCTCTTAGTTGGCGCCTTTGCCCCCTGCCGCCCTCTGACTGGGCCCAGAAGTTTCCTCCACATTGCCGTCTTTCCTTCCCTTTGGCTTGGCCTCCCTACCCTTTTAAGGTCACCTTCATTATAATCACGAGGGAGTGGTTCAGACGACCTTCTTTCCTTAGATGAAGCATGTTCTGGATAGTAGTTTTCAGACATTTTTTAGCTGCCTATCCTTTATAAAGTAGATTCTTATGTGGAGATCCAATTTATAAAAAAGATAAAAGCTCCCAGGTGCTAGTTGAAGAGGAAAAGAACTAGAGGCCACCCACACCCATGCGGCCCTCTGAGTGCCTCTGCAGGACCCTTGGCTTGCTGAGCAGTTCTGAACTACTCTCCAGGTCCTGTCTTTCTGGACCCCACATGACCTCCTCAAGACCATGACTTGTAGCCCCTGTTTCTTAACAAGGCCTGGCTGACAGGTGGAAAGTGTGCCCTCTCTGCAGAGCCCCACTCCTTGGGAGGCTGGTCATAACCTACTCTCAGCTCTTACAGAGGATAGTAATAACCTGGGGTAACCTGGGCCTAGAGGTAAACCAGCTCTCCCCAGCCGGGCTCTCCCCACTCACATCTGCATGTGGAAACTCCCTCAGATGTTCCCTCCACCCCTACACCACATACTACAAATTTCGAAATCACTTAGACAAATTGGAAACAGTAGAAATGTACAATTATAGAGGAATGGTTAAATAATTTCAATACTTGCATATAATGGAAACAACCATATAAAAGAATGTTCATTTGTTCAATTAATCTTTATTAAAGACTTAGGTGCCTGGCAGGCCCTGTGAAAGTCACTAGCGGGATACAGTGCAAACAGACAGATACCCTTGTGGAGCTCACACTCGGCTGTCAAAGGCAGAGTGGTTCAACTTTGTATTAAAAAAAATAGACATAATTTTTGTCAGAGAGAAGGGTCATTTCTCCCTAGGAAATGTCTGGCCTATTTCTTAGCATTAGAAGAAAAAGAACAGAACTTCCCACTAGCCACACCCACCATGTCATGACGCTTCTCTTGTTTGTACTATGCCTCCCTTTTTCCTCTATTTTTTTTATTTCTTGAGGTATGAATATAATAAAGCAAAGAAACTATGAGGGGGGCCAGCCCAGTGTTGCAACAGTTAAGTTTTCGTGTTCCGCCTTGGCGGCCTGGGGTTCACAGATCCCAGGCGCGGACCGACACACCGCTTGTCAAGCCATGCTGTGGCGGTGTCCCATATAAAAGTAGAGCAAGATGGGCACAGATGTTAGCCCATCTTGAAAAGGAAAAAAAAAGAAATTATAAGGAAAGGAAAAAAAAATTTTTTTTTTTGTGAGGAAGATCAGCCCTGTGCTAACATCCGATGCCAATCCTCCTCTTTTTGCTGAGGAAGATTGGCCCTGGGCTAACATCTGTGCCCATCTTGCTCTACTTTTATATGGGACACCCCCACAGCATGGCTTGACAAGCGGTGTGTCGGTCCGCGCCTGGGATCTGTGAACCCCAGGCCGCCAAGGCGGAACACGAAAACTTAACTGTTGCAACACTGGGCTGGCCCTGGCGAAAAATTTTTTGAAAATATTTTTTAAATTAGTCTGCTGTGGACTACAGAGGCACCCAAGGAGGGAAAAGCTGTTCCACGTTGTCTTCCTTTTGGAGGAGACAGCCCTGGATTGAGCCTTAGCAAGGGCTGTCTCCTCAAGACTCGATGCTCCCCCAAGATTGCACCCCAGAAGGACTGATGGGCTCTCCTGATTCGAAAGGTTGTGGCCCAGCGGTGAGACCAGAGGCTTCTCTTAGCAGGAATGGGAATGCATGGCCCTGCCCAGAGATTTGTATAAACATGAGTTGTTGGAGGACGACCCAGCAGCCTGGCCATGCTGCGAGGCTTTTCGTTTCTAAGCCAGATTATTAATATCCTTTTTTTTTAAGCAACTGAAAAAAGCCCTTCACAGAAAAAGTTTGTCAACCCCTGCCATCAATTCCTGTCTAATCATGGAGAGAGTAGATGCAGGTCCAGCTGGAACATGCTGAGAGCCCTGTCAGTCCTAACCGCTGTCCACCGTCTTGAATCTCTAAACCCTGTCTAGAAGGAGAGATCTCAAAGAAAAAACTCACAGCACCTGCGAAAGCGTTCTGGGGCTTGTCAAAGAAAGGGATTCGGTGATTACGGACCACTGCTGCTAACTGCCCACCCGCCACAATGACCGTTTCTGTTTTCAAGTATTTTTCTAGCTTATGGATATTTTATGGTTCTTACTTTACTCCTTTATGCAGAGTATAAGAGTGGGTAAAGAGAGGGTAGTTGGGTATTTTGAACCAGTGCAGTTAACCCTTGGGAACCCTTGACCATGCAGTTTTGCTTTACTCACCTTCTCAGGTGGGCTTCGTGTGAGCTACGTGTTGGTCGGTGCACCTGTGAGGGCCTGACGTGGAGTCCTCTTTCACACGCCCCGAGATTTGGGGGATGGAGACTATTTACTAAAACTTCGTGTCCATAAACATTTGCCACCTGTGGGAGAAAGGAGTTAAGACGCTGAGTTCTACCCTGAGCTGTTTACATTGTAGCCTCAACTCAAGCCCTTGATGGACCGGAGCCGTTGTAGCCTCAGGCACAGGGAGGGGCTGATGGGCTTAGACGAGTGAGAGTGGAGAGAACCTGTTCTCCTCAGGCACCTGGTCTCTAGAGAGCCTGCCGCTTGTTTGGGAATCTCTAAAAGTCATCACTGCCCAAGGGTGAGAGTCTGGGCAGCTCCTAGAGCTAGGGGTTTCCTCCACTTAGCTCTCTGCCTTCTTCAGTCACTAACAGCTGCTACGGGAGGCAGAATAAGACCTTTTTAAATTATGTATTAATTATTTTTACTCCATTACTGCTGAAAAGATTTAACAAATACTTTTAGAAATACATATGGAAATAATAGGTACTGCACAGCAACTGTTGGCGTGTCTTCTTAGCGTGTAATTTGGCCTGTGTGGATACCATTTTCATTGTTGTGAATAGAAAGTTGCAGCCCCAATTTATAAAATTATATTTACGTTTTATGTTCCTCTATTTGGTTACAGCTTGTGGCAATGTTATTTTTATTTTCAATATAACAGGTTAAAGGTTATCGAAAATGAATTGATACAGGCTTCAACGAAGAAATTTTCTCTGGAAAAGTTTTATAAGGAGCCCAGCGTTTCTAGTATACAAATGGTGGATTGTTGTAAGAGACTTCTAGAACAATCACTGCCTTATCTACAAGGGATGCACCTCTGCATTTCACATTTTTACTCTGTTATGCAAGACGGAGACCTTTGTATTCCTTGGAATTGGAAGAATGGAGAAGCCATTAAGTAACAGAAATCTGTATTATTTTTTAAAGGATAAGAAAGAAACTGTTAAACTTATTTAAATCCACAATTTGATATAACAGAATTATTTACATATTACAAGAACAAAGTTTCTAACTATACTTTAAAAGTAGACATTTTTTAAAAAATTAATTTCTGCTAGGAAACTTGTTTTAAAAAGGTCTTATCTCCCAATCTTTTGGTGTTTCTTATCTGATTGGCAAGACTAGGTAAAAAGATGTTAGAACGAAAGAACATTTTTGCAGTGGTGTGTAAATGAGGGATTCTACAGAGTTAAAGATATATATTTTTATATGAGTGGATGTTGATAAGTGCACACAGGCCTCATTCAGTATAGCTCTGAAGTAGTGGAACTCCTTTCCACGTGTAACACCATACAACGGGCAACTCTGTAGTTGCATCTCATGTATCAATACACACCTGTATTTTGCAGCCAGTATGGACAGTTGATGTCCAAAACAGATGATTGAGGGGTAGCAAAAATTAGATAATCAAATTTTGCCCAAAAGAAAGAATAGAAGGCAAAAAGGCAATTGAATGAATATATGATATTGACGTTGTCATAAGCAATCTGATACCAGTTTGTTAAAACATTCTTCAGTGACATAGAATTTAGTTTTAAACCCATAAGTTTTCCTACCCATTAAAACATTGCACCTGTTGGGTAGCATGAAACCAACAGACAGTAAGTGTTTTTGAATCATTAATGGGGTGACTCATTTGTTTTTGTGGACAAACACTATGCAGGAAAATCCTTCTTGTTTCCCAAAGAGTTCCAGCAAGTAGGGTCAAGTGTAAAATGGTTCAGACCACTCAGGACTTGTCACTGCTCTCAACCCTGGTCTTCCTGTCCCGGCCAATGTTTGGAACGCTGGTTACAGCCCCTCTGAGGCGCCCCTCATCCGTAGCTGTGTGGGCCTCCCTGGAGCCACACCACAACGCAGCCCCAAGGGGCGCAGTGTGCACTCTGTAGACACAGGGCTTCTCTCTCGGCAGACATTTCCTTTAGGATAATATTTTTAACCAGACCCAAAACCTCTTCAGCTTGTTTCCCAAGAGGACACGGTGAATCCTTGTTTGGGACACCATTTTTCTGACTTTTACTGCTCAAGAAAGGAGAAAGGGATTTTTCCACAATGCACTGGAAAGGAAAGGAGATGTTAAAAACCATTCTTGAAGCATGTTTTAAATATATCTAAAACACTGGTTATTTACATTGTTTAAATTCAAATGTGTGTTTAAAAGAAGTATTGGTTGTAATTATTATGGTTTGTGCATATCATCCCTTTTAACCTGTGCCTAACAGCCAAACTTAAATTTTTCTTTCTAATGTAATAAATGTTGTTGCCTATAAATATTTTCCAGCCAGATGATGGGAGTGAAATATTCCTTAAAGGTTATTTAAGAAAATTTATTGGAAAAATAGATTTGGATTATGCTATTTCTAAAATCAACTAATATAGAATCCTCAGTGATATATTTTGAATTGGACTTTGTCTCAGAACTAATTGTTACATAATAAATAATACATTAATCAGATAATTGTTTTTCTTGTTAATCAGTTATTAATAGTTTTACAACTATTGCCACATAATAGGAAATTACAAGAAATGGTGACCTGTATGTCTGTTTGACTTCCTCTCCCAATCTAACATAACAGGGAAAATTCTGTCCCACGACTGAAAACTGGCACAGGATCAGGCCCCTCTAACTACCAAGCCTGGGGTCAGAAAGGGCCTCCACAGGGACCTGAGCCCCAGACCCAGGCCAGAGCTCTCCCAAGGGAGAACCAGGCCCTGAGCTCGCCTGGGGGCTGCGCATCTCTGCCAGGGCTGTCCAGTGCGGGAGGCGTATATCCAAAGACACATCTGTCCACAGGCCGGGTCTCCCCAGGCCCTACTCCCTCCTTTCCCTCTCCCAGGCCTCCACCTCCAGGCAGCCTGAGCTAACGAGAGGGTGGTGAGCCTTGAGGAGTGGACAGGTGGAGCGAGAGAGAACAGGGCTGCCTCAGGGACCAGCTCACCTTGGGAACCTCTAAGGACTGTGTGCACATCCCAGACAGAGGTCTCTGAAGTGAACCCCTCCAGCTCAGGCCACTGTCCCAGCCTCCCGGTGTCCCCACATCTCCTGTACTAACCCAGCCTCTGTCACAGAGGCTGCCACCCCACCTCCAGCTGCCCTGGAGGGATCTGTCCGTGCTTCCCTGGAGCGAGCCAGTCAGACCAAATCAGTCCTGTGGAGACGGGTGGCCCCAAGGCTCTAGGCTCTTCTGCAGGGGTTCATGGTCCTGGCAGCCTTCCACCACAGGCCCTATAGCTGGGAGCCCCAGCTCCCAGGGGGCTAGCACCCAGACCCAGGGTGCAGGAGCCATAGATGCATCGGGTGAGCCTGGCAGCTGGCTGACCACAAAGTGACTCCCTGTTCCAAGACTGCCTCCGTCCGACCTGTGCTGCCAGGCCACAGACCCCGACCTCGGGCCCTCTGACATGGCAGGGTCACCACATGCCAGTCCCATGGGTAAGAACTGGCACAAGCCCCAGGGAACCTTGATCGGTCTCCCCGTTGCTCTCTGTGCTGGGTGGCCCTCGGCAAGACCTACTCCTCGCTTGGCCTCAGTCTCCCCATCTGTAAAAGGAGGCACCAGGGCATGTTCTAGGAGGTTCTTTCCACCCTCAATGAGTCTGTCCCAGGAAGCCAGAGTCCTCCCATGGGTGGTCCTTAGCCACCAACTCAGGCATCCCTCGCTCTTTAGCAGTTGGATGAGGAAGAGGAGGAGGTGGAGCAGCCAGTAGACAGATCAGAACTGTGTCAGCGCCGTGGGACCCTCTTCTTCCCCCCGACACCCCTGCCACTGCAACGTAGTTCTTCTGGTCACTCAAAACCCTTCCTTTCTGGAGACTTACCTGTTACGGAGCATTTTAGGGATTTTTTTCCCCTAAGCTGACAAATGTTGCACATGGGGAAACTGAGGCCCAAAATAGGGAAGAGACTTTCCCAAGGCCCTTCTGCCTGCTGCAGACAGGAGAGGTGGGATTAGACCCCAGGTGTCCCAGGGGCTGTGAGGGGTCTGAGGAGACAAGAGCGCCCTCGGCTCTGGTGAGCCCACCGGCAGGTCAGCGCCAGGGGTAGGCGGGACCACGAGTCCAGATCAGATGGGCCCTTGGAGCAGTACTGCCCCACGGGGGGTGGGGACAGAACAGAGACAGCGACCTTGGATGGTCAGTCCTGGCCACGATGGTGCCAATGGGTCCGACTTTGGCCCTATAGGACTGTTGTGCAGAAGGGGGTGGAGGGTGGCGCGCCTCCTACTCCTCCTGAGCGAGGCCTGGCAGTGGCCTCAGCCCTCACCCCTCTCCAGCCAAACTGCTCAGGCCGCCCTCCTTCTCCCTGTTGCAGCCAGGCTGGAACGCTGGGACCCCACCGGTGCCTATGAGTGTCGCTCTTGGAGTAACGTTTGCACACATCTCCCCCAAAGATGATCACAGCAGCTCATCTGGGGGAAACCGGCTCAGCACAGGGCGTGGCCCACGCTGGAGAAGGCTGTCGGTTTTCACCCTCAGGATCTTTGGCAGCTGGTCAGGTTTCATTTTCATTGTCTCTGTTGCTACCACAGGTGCTGGCATTAGGCCTGGCCTGGTGTCCGCGTGCATGAGCCGGAGATGTCAGGTCCGCAGGATGAGCAGAGAGGCCTCAGGAAGAGCAGTGTGATTGGGAGGCAGGACAATACAATCCATGTGGACACCAGCCCCGGCACCTCACTTTTATCCACACCCAAAAAAGCAGGATTTTTAAACTTTGGGGTAAAATGTTCCCTGAGAGATTTCCTAAGAAGACCTTTCCCTTTTTTTTTTTTTTTTTGGGAGGAAGATCAGCCCTGAGCTAACATCCGTGCTAATCCTTCTCTTTTTGCTGAGGAAGACCGGCTCTGAGCTAACATCTATTGCCAATATGCCTCCTTTTTTTCTTCCCCAAAGCCCCAGCAGATAGTTGTATGTCATAGTTGCACATCCTTCTAGTTGCTATATGTGGGATGAGGCCTCAGCATGGCCGGAGAAGTGGTGCGTCGGTGTGCGCCCAGGATCAGAACCCGGGCCGCCAGCAGCAGAGCACGCGCACTTAACCGCTAAGCCACGGGGCCGGCCCAGACCTTTTCCTTTCTTATTAGTCATTCAACAAACACCCAAGAAGCACCTACTGTGTGCAGGTGTTGTCGTAGGCACTGGGGACACAGCAGGGACCGAGCAGAAGAGGTGCTACCTTGGAGGAGCTGACATTGCGGACCCTGTTGTGTAGCATTCCCTTGGTGTATTAGTTGCCTGTGGCTGACATAAATTACAAACCGGATGGCTTACAACAACAGAAATTTATTCCCTCACAGTTCTGGAGCCTGAAGTCCGAAATCAAGGTGTCATTGGGGCCACACTCCCTCCAGAGGCTCCAGGCAACTTTCCTTTCTTTGCCTCTTCGGGTTCTGGTGGCTGCCTGTGTTCCTTGGCTTGTGGCCGCATCACTCCAGTCTCTGCCTCTGCAGTCACATCACCTCCTCCTCTTCTCTGTGTCCTCTGTGTCGGTCTCAAAACTCTCCGTCTCATAAGGAGGCATGTGACTGCACGTAGCGCTCGGCGGAATCCAGGACAAGCTCCTCTCAAGAGCCATAACTTAACCACGTACCTTGCTTTAGAAGGTGATATTCGCAGGCTCCGGGGATGAGGACACGAATGCGTCCTTTGGGGACACCGTTCACCCCTGCACTGGTGATGGGATCACCGTTACAAACCTGCTCTGTTTTCGTCTGCCCTTGGATGACTTTGCAAAGAGAACCCCCCACTCTGGGGGCATCATGCCTTGTCCACCGGAGACCCTGGCAGGATGCAGGCTCTCTCTTCCTACCTGAGCGTTATTGCACATCCACTCACACTCCCTAAGTTAGGGTTTCCCGTGATTCCAGCCTCCACTTAACCTGCCCTATTCTTTGGGCATTTGGGTTGGTCCAGCCTCTCACTTTTCTAGTTCACCTGCTGTGAGCTTTTCCGGGCATGGTGC